CATTGGAGAACAGGGATTTAGCATGCTGTATCATCAATGTGATGGCAAAAGCACTATCATTCGCTGCAAGCAATCTGCGAGGCCCAGGGTGGACAAGCAAGAATGGCAAGTTTGTCATACAAAATATCTTAATAAAAATTTAATCCTGTAACACACAAATCTGGGCCTTCTTGGGGCTTTATGGATGCCTCTATGCTGCACAAAAGGCTACTTGGATAGTGAGGCTTGACCTTAGATCCTCCTGCCACAAAAACACAGCCCCATAGCACTTGTGCCAAAGGAAAATCGCTCTGAGCTGTTGGCATGATAGAGTTTATGACTCATAACTGAACAATTCTGATGCCAGTTCATACCTCTGTTGTGTTATACAAGTACTATTTGAAGATCAAAAGTATTTTACCACCAACATGCAGTCAGCAGTTAACAAGTAATGAAGATGAGAGTTAATCCTAATCATACCCCTGAAATGTATGTATATACATACTATCTTACCTACAGACACAGAAAAATAGAGAAGTTAAGGGATTTGCCCAAGGCCTCAGAGAGAGTCTATGGCAGAGCCATGATTAGAACACAGGAATTCTTTAGTGCCCATACCAGAGCTTAGGCCATACCCTTCATAAAACATTTCCGAACGACATATAGTACAGCCTTCAAAATAAAAATTGCATTTAGAAACAACCATTGGTCTGTCTTCCGTGGCCTATTCCCTGAATTACAAGTATATCCAGAAATATTGGGCCAGTATGATCCTGCTGTAGATTTGACTTTGGCCCACAATGGGTAGATTTACAACATTTTGGAGCATCCCAACCCAGGTCAACAGACTTAGACTAGCAGAGCTTGCACTGATGCTCTCAAACTGGCTGTACAGGCAGCTCTTTGAAGTTGCCACTTGGATGCTGAAGCCCATCCCCCTCTCTCACTCTAATCTCATTAATTAGCCTACTATTAAATGCATTAATATGTTGTGTGTTTAAACTTCATTGGATAGGCTATACCACTTCATGACCACTGAGTGGAAAGCTCTTTATGTTATGTAACCTGAATGTCTGTCTCATTTCAGTCTCATGCTCTTAGCCTGTAGAGTTAAATTTCCAAACTCTAGGGGTGGACACACAATCGATCTCAGAAATTTGTAAATTGTCATTACTTCTCTCCACGGTAGTTCTGCAATTCTGAACAAAATGTGTTGACTCTTCTAAGCCTTTCCTGAAAAGATTTGCCCTGATTATACCTATGTTCTAGGCAAACACCAAATTAAACAGAAATTTCCAAATAAGACCTAACAAGATACCTCGACAACTGGGATCAATCAATATCTCCTTTGTTTTGTAGTTAATTCTTCTATACACCCAAGTACTTTGCCATCCCCTGTAACTAATGTGCTCTTTACTTTCATATTCAGTTAGTATCTTCAGAGAGAGCTCCTTCCTCATGTTTACTTATCAGTCCTGAGCATCATGCTTGGTCCTGACTGAGTGAGATGCAGAGCACCTTCACCTTTCAAATCAAATGGGAGTTGAAAGTGCTCAGCATCTTGTAGCAATGGGCCCTCTGCCTATATCACACCAGTTATTTGGGATCTTAATTATTTATACATGCATTTTCTTAAAGGTTACTCAAGTTCCTTTTAAAAGTTGCAAATCCAAATAAAACTAGAAAAATGAATTTGTCAATAGATTTTTGTTCCTTTGATTTTAGGGAATTGCAGTCCCATAAACAGCTATGATTTTTTTTTAATTATGAAAAGTATCTCTGCAATGTGTTTTTAAGCAGGTAAAATAGTTTCGTTTTCTGTTGCCTTTTTTATCAGAAAAACAGCCGACTTCTTCCCTGCACAAACTTGTAGGGATCCTAATTCTCAGTCTGTTAACCAGATTTTATTTTTTTGCACTTTCTGTTTCCCCTTGAAATGTTCTGAATTACTGCTGAGTTGTTCTGAAGAGCTACAGTGCATCTGATAGCACATTTGAACCATAACTTTCAAAGCCTACTGTGATGTTGAAACTGAAATGATGCTTTTAGACATGAAACACCAAAAAACCCCCACCTTTTTTCCCACAGCACTGAAGTCAGATATTGACTAATTGCGGTGGCGGCGGTGACGTTGAGCTTTTAATTTGAACTGATATTTTATTAACTTGGATTGAGGATTTAATAAGTAGTGGTTATTAGTGAGCAGTGTCATCTTGTGTGAATCTAAGTTATTATGAAACTACCCAAAAATTAAGGAAAACAAATCATACAACAGGAAAAAGTAAAAAATCCTTAAATAAAAAAGAAAAAAAACTCTATTAGAATCTAGTCACTCATGCTATTGTCCTGATAAGACTACTGCAAAATAGACAAATCAAAATCCACCATAAAAGTGTGGCATAATAAACAGATAATATGGGGTAGAAGACAGGCTGGTGTTCTTTTCTTATGATCTAAATATAAACAAATATGTTATTCTAATCTGGAATATTGTTCACAACTTTCTGGTTCTGCATTCTTAATATTTATTCAGTTTAAAGATATCATTACATGTTTTCTTTAAAATAGCATTTTTGTTTGTAGACTCATCTGTATTCATTCCCAATAGCAAATACAAAATATCTTAGGCCAGGCTTAGCTGGTATAAATTGGTGTAAAACATAAAAATCTATTTTTACCAGTTGAGCATATGGCCTCCTGTCCTTATACAAAAGGGTAAAGAATTTTTTCATGAGGCACTTTAGCAAAATTAATGTATTTTATTATCTAAAACACCAAACTATATAAGGAATCAGCTGTGATTAATGGTTAGAGCAAGGCAGTCAGGAGGTTCAGTTCTCCCTTTTACTGCTGACTGTTGACAATTGGTTAATTCAGTATATACTTTAAGAGTCCTCCTGGAAGAGTCCTCCTTCCTCACTAAGGCTAAACTCGCACACCGCATTCATCCATAAGTAATGCTTTCTACCATCTCTGGGTAGCTAGGAAATTCCTTCCCATCCTGGTGGACAATGACCTGCCCCTTTGTAACCACCTGTCCACACTTCAGCAGGGCAAGACATCTATGCATGAACACATCAATCCTTAGGAAGTTCCAGCTAGTACAGAATACTGCAGCGCGTATCCTTCAGCAACGGGAGCACATCAAATCTGTCCTCTGTTCTCCACACTGATTTCCCATAGAGTATCAATTCAAGTTGAAGATCTTGGTCCTTTTCTTCAAGGTGCACAATGGCCTGGGCCCAGGATATCTAAAAGATCACCTAAAGTTCCGGGTTGAAGACCACAAATGACAGTTCTGCTTTTCATGCAAAGTGGAACCTTCTACCATAAGGGTAAAGCTTGGCTGTGCAGAAGATGGAGTTTTCTCAAAGTCCAGCCTGAGACTGTGGAATGAACTCCCACAGGAACTAAGGACCACCACAAACCTCACCGCCTTGCAAGGTGCATTTCTTCAATCTTTCTTCTGTATTGTAAACACAGACCAGCATGTATGTAAATATATCAAAACACTACTGCATGAACAGTTTTCTCCCTGGGGAGAGGGCTGAGAGAACAAACCATGTGTGACAGATGTTAGTCACTTTGCTTAATGAACTACTGAAAGGTGTCAGATACTACAGTAATGAGGATGGTATGAGAATCTTTTCGACTAGACCACAGACTAGAATAGACTCAGTGTGTGAGCTTCAGCAAGACATTTAATTTTTCTGGGCTTCAGTTTTTCATTGGTGAAATGGAGATTATAACACTTATGTATCTTGAAAATTATTTAATATTTGCAGGGTTTATTGAGATCATCAGTACAACACAATGAAAATATTGGGGGCAGTTTATACACTCATAAGTATTACAGATGTGTATCAGTATTTTACTAACATGCATTTAGTGCAATATTTCATTTGCTAAAATAAATTAAATGAAAACCTAGATAACACAGAGGGCCTGATTTAAAAACAAAAGTCAGGAGTACAACTGTACAATCAAAAATGTGTAACTAATTTATATGTGTCTGGCTGGCATGATCCCTGTCTGGCGAGCAATATATTTTGTGCACTCAGACACCATAGTTGTACCTGTATATTAGATATGCAATTGTACAAAGAGTTTTGCACAACTTCTTGGAAATTGGGCCCTGAATCTGAGTCATAATAATAATCCTTTGCCATCTTCTAGTGCTTCTCATCTCAAATACTTTGCAAGCTCTAACGCATCCTCGCAGCTGAGACTGGGTTATGGCTACCCTCTGGTGTGTTATGTCTGATTTAGAACCTAAGCTTAAACACCCTCATGCACATGAATAACTTTATTCAGCTGAGTAGTCCTCTTGAAACTAATGGGACCACTCCGATGTGTAAAAATACTCCAGTCCGTGAGCATTTGTAGGATCAGGCACTTACATTCTACAGGCCTCATCATTTTCCATCTGTCAGGGGCCGAGTCCCTTATGTACGGGATAAATAACAAATAGTCACAATGATTAAAATAATGAATCAGATTCATTATGAAGAGTAAGGCCTCCGCTTTGAGCTGAGATGCGGGGGCAGGGGGCCTGCAGGTGTGTGGACTCTGCCATGAGACAGGGAGGTTACTCTGGCTGCTGCCTGCATCTCTGAGCTTTGGGGTGGCGGAAAGAGGTGAAGTGAGAGGGAGGAGGATGAACCCAGGCTGCCCTCCATCACGGAGGGGGAGTTACCTTGGACTCCCCCAGGGTTCCTGACACAGGTGCAGGCAGGGGGTCTCTCCCAGGCTGTCCCCGGGTCCGTACCACGGGTAGGGATGTGTTGTAGGTACTGGGGCGCTTCTGCCCGTGGTGGAAACAGAGACGGGGTGACGGTAACCCCAGGCTGCCCACCCTGTTCCCTACCCGGGCGGGCGGGCGAGGGGCTGAGGGGTGTTGCCCACAGGTCTATGGGCCGGGCAGGCGGCCGGGGAGACCCGCCCCGAGGCGGGGTACGTGGGGAGGCGGGCCCGGCGCAGCGCCGGGGCTGGAGGAGGAGGCGGGCCCACGCGCAGCGCGGCGCGGCGGGGCGGGCAGGGAGCAGGCGGCGGCGGCTGCTTCGGAGCCATCGCGCCTGCCCGGCCGGTGGTGGACCTCGGGCGGGGAGCGGCGGGTCTCCGGGCCGGGCGGGCCCCATGGGCGGGTGTGTGGGCTCCCATCACGACTCCTCGGGCAGCCTCAACGAGAACTCGGACGGCACCGGAGGTGAGAGGGGCCGGGCGGGACTCCGCGCGGTCCCCCGTCCCCCAGCCCAGGGACCCCCTGGGCACCGCGGCACTCGGGCCTGAGGGGCTCTCCCTGGGGGGCCTCGCCATGCATCGCCGCCCCTCCGGGGCCCCTCGCCCCCTGCCCGGGCCCTCCATCCCCTCCCCCCCAGGGGTACAGTTGTTCAGGAAGGGGTGCCTGGCCCACCCCTCCTCAACGCCCCCCAGGGGTACAGTCCCCCCCCTTCCCCGCTCTGCCCGCCCCCCCCCCCGGGGGGGCATCCCCCGAGCGAGCCTCGCCCCTCCGCCTTCACTCCAACTTCCCCGAAGTCAGCTGCCATCAGCTGCCCGGCTCCGGGCCACTAGGGCAGGCAGGGGCGTGGGGAGAAAGCAGCCCTAGTCCCCAGCCCAGGCCGCGCACTCCCTTTTCCCAGCCGCAGGGCTCAAGCTCCCCAGGAGCCGCGGGAGCTTTTAAAAATGCCCTACGAATGCACAGTTCTGCAGGGTTCAAAAGGGCTTCGGGAATGGTCCAGCTGGACCTAAGCCGCCGCCCGCCCGCCCCCCCCCCCTTCCCATGCCTTGCTCAGAGGCCATCCCTGAAAAGGAAACATTTTTGTCAACGTTCAAAAAAATTCAGCTTTTGTCTCTCCTCCATACAAAGCCATAATTAGCTTAAAACCCAATACCAGGCACTAGAAACTCTTCTTGATAACGTGTCCCTTCAGTGGAGATCATGCTGCACTCAAAGCAGTGTGCTGATCAGAGTGGTGCCTTGCATTTTATTTAACTTGCATAGGTTTTTATCCTATAAAGTAGTGTTTGAACTCTGTTCTCTGTGTGGGACTTAATCCCCACCAGTTAAATTATTTTCTATATACTGAAACAATGGGGGTATCTCCTGATTACATTGCCTTACTCTGCTTTCCAATAACAGATGGACATTTTCCCCCTGTTTAAATTGTTGGTATTAAATGGTCACTTTAGTACAATTAAGTGCTGAAGGCAGTGTGTTTTATCTATCATGTTAGTTACATACCTGTTTAAAAGGGGAGGGTGGGCAGGGAACAGTACTGCAATGTAAATAGTCTCTGTACTTAACTAGTTTCAGAGTAGCAGCCCTGTTAGTCTGTATTCGCAAAAAGAAAAGGAGTACTTGTGGCACCTTAGAGACTAACCAATTTATTTGAGCATAAGCTTTCGTGAGCTACAGCTCACTTCATCGCTTCTCGGCCTTATGGCTAAGATCAAGCATAGTATCTGTTCTTATCAGTTTAATAACTGATATGTCCTTTATTTAAGGACTGTATATTAAATTGATTTTTGGAACAGGGGGATGGAATAGGAGCTTGCTCTGTCCACCCCATGCATTGACCTGGTATTACAGTGCCTCCAGGAACGGAAGGAATGCATCCGATGAAGTGAGCTGTAGCTCACAAAAGCTTATGCTCAAATAAATTTGTTAGTCTCTAAGATGCCACAAGTACTCCTTTTCTTTTTGTACTTAACTACTTGACATCTTATTTTTTTTTAGGAAAACATAAGATAGAAATATGACCTATTGGGTCACCTAAATCGTCCCCCTGCCACTGCAAGGTTGTTCTTGACAGTATACAATGTATTGCTTTGTTTGATCTTCTTTCAAATGACCCTAGTGATGGAGTATTTTTAGAAACGCTGTAGATTTTGTGTGTATTGCATAAAATATAAAAAGTACAGATCTTAAAAGAACTTTTTGAAGCAGCTGCCTGTTCATTTCAATGGCTCTTTGAACTATGTGTGTATCTTAAATAAACTCCTGCTGTTTTGTTTTGTTTTTTTTAAAGCTGCGTAACATTTAGTGTCACAATTCTCATTAAAGTACAAGGGAATTTGGTAGCTCTTTCCAAATCAACTTTTTTCTGACTTTAGGAGGGAAGTGAATAGACTAACAAATTTTTCAATACCAGCCTAGGTGTGACCAGTTAACAAAGAATAGTAAGAGTTTTTAGGGGAGTGGGGAGAACAGGTTCATGTTGAAAGCCAAACAAGAAAATTTACAACAAAAAGTTGTCTTATAGCTTTTAATACTATTTACAGGTGGCCTGGATTTTTCAGCACATCCATGCAATGTCAGCCATTGTTTAGTAACTAAGCATTATGAAGTGAGGCAAAGTTGCAGAAACAGCCTTGACTCTGAATTTTCTCACTTTTATCTCACCTTTGATATCTAGTGGATTACATACAGTATCCACAAAATATGTTACAATTCTTCAGTGGAGGGTGTAATGCCATATCATTACACTCTCAATGGTGGTGTGTGAGGCAGGCAATTTCAATGGAATTGGTGAAGTTTAGTGTCCCAGATTTAGCTGGGAAGGACTCGCTTCTGCTTGCAGTTACACAGCATACATCACTGTGTATTTTGGGGCAAATAGCCTATTGTGCATGGGTGCGTTAGCACAGCAACTAGATTTTCCAAGCCCACAATTGCAAACCACATATTGGAGTGCAGGCTCAAACTCTAAGGATTATGCACTCCGAGTCTGTTTCATGTAAATGATCTGATATTTCAGTTGAGCTGGATGGGACTGAATGAAAATATATTTATAAACTACCTACTGCTGTGTGTGTATAGTAGCCTATTTTGAAATGTGCACTTTTTTTTTTAAAGTAGCTATAGTTAAGCTGAAAGTGCATCACAATATGTTTTTAATATACCATAATTTAACAGTCAAGATATCAAAGACCAACTTTTCTGACTCTTGGATCTAAAACTTTATAAAATGATTGTGATAAATATAAAATCTGGCTCTTGGTGTCTCAAGAGAACTTATGACTTGAGACATCTGACACTGAGCTAGGCAAAGCAGTAGAGCACATAATATAAGGAACAATCCTACTTTAGAAGGGGGATGGGCTAAATCATCTAGTAGGTCATTTCTGTCTCTAATTTCAGATTCTGTGATCTAGTACGGTGTTATCCACCTTTCAACCTGTTGCAAGTGACTAGGGCCATATCATAAACTCCAGGAAAGTAGTTTAGAACCAAAACTTCAATGCTAAATGCTGCATTGCCAGTGTCTGAAATGATGATGTGATAATTGTTTGTTGCAAAGCTTTATACTGTCTCCTAAACACAGTGATACATGAAGCAACTTTTCCTAGCGATGAGACTGGTTAACCATGCTTGATCCTGGAGGACTCTCAGAGCCAGATGTTGATCTCCATTGCACCAGTCTGAATCTATAAAAACTCCAAGGAAGTTGATGGAATTTTGTTGGATTAAATCAGTGTAACTCATATCAGAATCTTCTCCTATAATCTCATGAGTTCTTCAAGCAATCACTAGCACTTTAAATATCCATTGCTGCTCATTTAAGTTGCTAAAATGGCTTGATCGAATACAGTTTCGTTCTCTTCTGATTTGCTGTAGAGCAATTAGCATACTTCAAGGTCAGCAAGATATTTAAATTAGCTGGTCCTTAGGGTAAATTCATTAAGGTGTGTGGGTGTGTGTACGTGTACACAATGAGCTGGCCAGAAATATTGGCACTTCTTTTGTTTGTCATAAGTTATTCTGGAGTGCAGGCCTGAGGCCCGCTCCTGCTCCCATTGACTTCAATAGGAGGAGCAGGCTCTTAGTTAACAAAAATATCTGGTCATCAGCAGGCACTGCTGTGTCCATCCTGGAAGAGGAACTGTCTCCCCAGGGTAGCTCCAGCTTTTCCACTATTCGTACTTTTTTTTTATAGTACTATAGTGTTATACAATACTTTATAACATGGAAAAATAAGCTAAGCATAAAACAAAATTGTTGCTCCAAAATGCTTACTGTGTAAAAGCTATCAGAGGTAAACAGAGTGATATGTGGTCATTACCATAGTTGGTCTTCGTGGAATTAGGGATTTCCAGGAGAAATGTGAAAGAAGAAAAGAAGGATGATTGATGTATACTAATCAGTACAGTACTCCATAAGAACCCACCAACTGATGTTCTCAGATTTCTCTTTGTTATGCCTTTTTAAAGATCATGGTGAGCTTTTACAATCCTGGGCAATGTGGGGTGGTGAGAAATTTCTCATCCCTAGCCACTCCATACGACAGGTTATTTGATCTGTTCAGGTGTGCTGTCTTCCAGTATATGAATCTGGGGTTAAATAATGGAGGGCTTCACATTTTTGTGTCCGCTTTTAGGGTTTCTAAAGATCTGCACCAAATTATGTTCAGCTTGGTTCACCATTACATAAGCATTTAGAAGAATTCTTTTTGCCAGAATGTTACATCTGGGTCCCATCCCCTCATGCAAGCTATTTATTTTACCTTCTATCCTTTGAAATTCCCTTTTCATTTTCTTCTGGTAAGTCTGTTAAAATCTTTTCTGTTAGGCATTGTGCAATGTTAGTTTGTCTTGCCTTTCTTTTGCCTGCAAAGTTCAGCAAGACAGTTATTTGTATGGAGTGAAGAGGAGGCAAGAGATCCAACTTCTTGAAGTATGGGCACCGCAAGTCATTACAGATTAAGTCTTTGGGCTGCAGCTGTCTCTCTGCTGCTGTTCTCTTTCTGACATGATGTTAGCCTGCCCATTGGAGTTCTTGTCTTTTCCATTGGTAAAAAAAACTTCAGTAGTTGTGTTTTTACCTTTGTCTTCTCTCCTTTTGCCTGTAACTTGGGGTGACAGCAGGAACAAATAGAAGCAGGTGATTGCATGCTCAACTGGCACACTGGGATAGCTGATTGATCTGAGTGCAAATTCTTACTACAGTGCTTAATATGGTGCCATTGGCTCAAAAACACTGGAAGGCCAATTACAGCCCTTGGTCTAAACTTTGGCCAACTGTAGAAAAAACAATTTTAAAATATCTTTATTGGATGGTAGCGTAGCATTGCACTGAGCACTTCTGTTTTGAGGTGACAATAACTGCTTTCATAGTTTGTTGAAGACTGACTACGGGAGTTTGTGTATTAAGTAGTCAGAGGTTTGTCTCTCACAGTCTGTCCAATGCAGTAGCTCCAACCATGGTTA